AGGAGAGCACTTTGGCTCAAGCTTAGCCTGAGTATTGACTGCTGGCAGTTTGTTTCTGCATGGATTCATCACTATTAATTTTTGTTCCAAGCTTAAGATACGGGCACGTATCACTTTCCAAGTGTCAGTCTCCTACAGACTTTCTAGGTCTTCTAGAAAGAAGACCTAGATATTAGTGGCTAATATCTGAGTTCTTCCACAGCTAATGTCTGAGCTCTGCCAGGAGTGAGTACAACATCCATGCCAGCAGGCCTGTGGGCAGGAGCCTAGTATCACCAGGCAGGTGTGAGCCCAGTATCACCTGACAGATGTGAGCCCAGTATCACTGGGCAGGTGTGAGCCCAGTATCACCTGACAGATGTGAGCCCAGTATCACCAGGCAGATGTGAGCCCAGTATCACCTGGCAGGTGTGAGCCCAGTATCACCTGGCAGGTCTGAGCCCAGTATCACCTGCCAGATGTGAGCCCAGTATCACTGGGCAGGTGTGAGCCCAGTATCACCTGCCAGGTGTGAGCCCAGTATCACCTGCCAGATGTGAGCCCAATATCAGCAGGCAGATGTGAGCCCAGTATCACCTGGCAGGTCTGAGCCCAGTATCACTGGGCAGATGTGAGCCCAGTATCACTGGGCAGATGTGAGCCCAGTATCACCGGGCAGGTGTGAGCCCAGTATCACCGGGCAGGTGTTCCTGCACTGGGGTCTGCACAGGATCCTGGGACACATTCCTGAGTGGAAAGGTGAACCAGCACCCTGCTGCCATGGGGTACTGCTTCTTTCCAGCTACTTGGCAGTGCAGACATGCACATCCTTGTGTGTACAGCCATGCAGACATAGCCTGAGGTGGAATAGAGAAGCAACCCCGGATACAGATGCCTCAGGATAATACACTGGCTGCTGGATCATAGAACAATGCTAAAATACAGAACAGGAAACTATCCAGCCTGTATTTTTCTTCGGAGACAGATGCCCTTAAATATGGATTCCAGCCAAATCAATTTCTTAGCCACATAGTAAACATCTTTTGAAAAATTGCTCTGAGACAGATACAGAGGGAGATCGCTGATTTTTTTGATAGAAGTTGCAAAAACTTGAATTTATACAGGTTAAGAAAAGTTGATTAAAAACCTCCCCTGAGTTTATCTTTTCCAGTTGCAGAGGAGTATACAATGAAAACAGATTGTCAACTTTCTATTTCCCATTAAAAAAAAAAAACAATAAAAAGATTAATGTTAAGAAACAGAAACTAAGGTCAGTGTAACAACAGTTTTATTCAGAGATATGTTCAGTGGATACTGGGAGTGAAACCAGTTACCCTTATCTTGAACAAAACACCGTTCTGGAGGAAAGCACTTGTTTATTTAGACTGAAAAGAGACATCAGCCAATATGCTGCCCAGTGTTTTACAAAGCATCAGCTGAGCTCTGATTCACCCAATTGGTCTGAACTTTCCAAGCAGGGGGAGCAGTAAGTGCTTAGAATCTTTGCAAAACTGCCTCTCCCCAGTTCAGCGCTCCACCTTGGAGGCACCTGAGACACCTGTGCTCTTTAACTTATCTGCAGACTAATCCTCCCCGCCCACACATGCGCATACTGGATGGAAATAACAATTGAAACCTCTCTACATAAATACAGCTCCTTGGAAGGCTCAATTGATGCTGCTACCTGAATCAGGAGAGCACTTCCCGCAGCACACAGGCACGTCCAAGGTGCATGCAGGGGTGGCGGTAAGAGAGTTTTCAAGTTTGGGTACAACATCAGGTGGCATCGAGGGGATTATTAGAGACAGAAGGGAGAAGAAATTGAGATTAAGAATGGCCTAGGGGACAAAAGGGAAAGGGCATGGAAAACAAAAAGAAAGCTCCAGGAAGTAGATGATTCATAGTTACTTTAGGCAGCAGTTTAAGTTTCTCAGTTTGAAGATGGAAATAACACCTACTTATCACCAAGAGATGGGCTGGTAATTCATGTTGAAAAGCACTCAGAGAGTCTTGGAAGAAAGGTACTTTTTGGAAATGTCATCTTTGAAGCATTTGTTGTTATGGCACAGTGTGATTCTGGACTTGAAACTGCAACCAAAAAGTGATGCAGAGGGAAAGCAGCAATCCATCCAATACTGAATACTTGGCCTGCCCCAACATTTCTACCCAAGATATCATCAACAGACAAATAATGGTAGGAAGAGGGGTAAGAAAAAAAAAAAAAATCTTATTGTATATTTTGCTAGGTCTCTCACCTGGAAAAGTTCATTTGCAAAGTGTACAGCTCCAGGTGCATAATCAGTTTAGAAATTTGTCTTTGTTCTCATTTTGTTTCCTCCTGGGAAACTTTAACCAGGCTGCCAGAGTGATGACACCAGCATCAAGGAAGGCAGCAAGACAAAGTGACAGACTTCCATGTTCTCCTAGTTCATGACAGTTGCACTCAGTTAGAGGGGTACCTTTACTTCAGGATCAGAAGGGGTTTGCCTTAGAATATTTCTCTGTCCATTTCTGTGTTTCAGCATGTGTCTTCAAACCCTGCACATTACTTGCCTGCTTCCAGCCTTGTGCCTTTAATCTCAGTTCATAACTCAATTCTTTGGACTGCCAGGACTCACTGCTTCTCAGAAGGGAGGAATGGGGAGCTGCACCCAAAATCTTTACATTTTGGTCCATCTCAGTGCCTCTCTGAGATGTTCTGCTTAGGTTGACAGTATGTCTGAGTCTCTTTCCAGATTGTTAATGACTTGCAAAGTTGACAGCATGGTTGCTGGCATTGCCTCTTCTTTATGTCCTCTGCCTGCAAGTGCTACAGAAAGACAGAAGATTTTACCATACATTCAGATGATAAGAACAAAGAGGTGTAGAAATTGAAGTCTAGTCTTTTTCTTTACTTTTAAGGTAGGAATTCAATAATGAACTGGATTATTCTACCCCAGATCCTAGGCTGGTTTACCCCAGTTTATTAATCTGTGCCTGAAGAAGAGGTGGAGATAGCACTGCCTCCATTGTACTCTATGCTATACATTGCATTTCTGATGCATATATGGAACCAAGCTTGGGCCAGCTTTACAAATGAATCCTAGAGCAAGGCAGACCTGCTCTGCCAGTCAGAAACCCGCTGCTATTAGACAGCAGACTATTGGACACTTGTGTGGTGACACACTTCCCTAAGGACACCCTTCAAGGAAGTGTATGGAAGGAAACTATGTGAGCCCAGTATCACCGTTGTGTGGTGACACACTTCCCTAAGGACACCCTTCAAGGAAGTGTATGGAAGGAAACTGTCAGCACAGCTGTTTGCCACTGAGTCTTACTACCAGGAACCTGGGATTAGATTCACTAAAACACAGGTTCTTGTGCTTGTCCCAGTAGTGATGGTTTTTCTGTCCTAGCCTCTGTGTAACTCCCTTGAACAAAAAAACCTCCATGGAGAATGGTAGCTTGCTCATTTCCATTTCTCAGGACTGGTTCCACATCTCAAACTTAGAATTGCTCTCTTCAGCCTGTATTGGAGGTGGAGAAAGAAACAAATCCAGTTTTCAAGTGTGATGCTTTGCAGATAAGTGATGTTTTCCTCCTATAACATATAAGCACAAACACAACAGTAACAAAGATATCTGCTTACCTTTCCACATGATGAAATCCAACCACAAAATAATGCTCCCTTCTCATAAAATTTGGCAGTGCCTGTAGTGTTTTTTTTCTCCTCCTTTCCTCATGTAATGCACTTGGTTAATGATCTCCAGGCCTCTATCATCACTTTCTTTTGTCTTGGCAGAACAGCCTAGGTAAGCATATGCCCCAGTGCTGGCAGCCTAAGCTTTTCCTTCTGTAGTGTTAATTGTCTCCTTGCCTGGAGTTTTCTTCTTAATACCTGAGTTCTATCTTGGCAGCCACTGGAATAATAGGTGCTGTGAGGCAGAACACTTTGATTTCCAGAACCCAAAATGCAAGGATTTTGCTGTAAGCCAGTCCTGACCATGAAGAAGCACATAAAAGTAACATCTGTAGATGTCTACATCCTTGTGGAACTCTGGGCAGAGATCTCAGTAGCTCACTTTGTCCTTCACTGACACATCCAAGAGAATGAAGAATCCACATCCAAGAATCATCTCTTCCACTTCTCTCTCTGTGTCAGTAGTGTCAGCATTGGCTCACAGGACTTGGGAAGGTGTTCATGGCACAGAGCAAAGATGAAGTATATTTTACCACAGGGGTAATCTCCAGTTACAGCTAACTTTCTCCTAAAAGCAGCCCCTCCTTGAAAATAAAACAAAATCACATTTTCCCAGGATGGTTTTTTTTTTTCTGTAAGCTCTTCTGAAGGCTAGAATGAGGAGAGGAGAGAAATTCCATTAGTTTGGAATTTCCCTTATTTCCTTTTTTGTCCCTATACTCCTGTCTTACCTTTTTCCCCTATTATTTTTCTGTCTTTTAATTTCTCTGACATCACAATTTTCTGAAATTGTGACTACCCTGTTCTTACCTCATCTTATAAATCAAAAAATTAAGGTATAAGCCAAATCTGTATGTAACCAAGACTCCTGCAGTACCCTGTATTTCTGTTTTATAATCTCAGATATTGTTTATGGTCAGTGTTCAGTCTGTAACAGATTTATTTTTTAGATTGAATGACTTAATTTTGTGAGTGAGATGGAACGTAAAACACTGTATTGAATAAATTTCCAAATTGGTTTTATTGACATTTTTCCTGCCATGATCTGTTAGTGGAATTCTACATGGCAATAGCTCTTCTATGTGCACTCATGCTGCTTTTGCTGACAGAGCATTGATCATGTGGGAATTAAGAAAGTGTTTTCAAGTCCTCATAGAGTCATGGTTAATTTATATGAAATATAAGTTTGTTAGACTTACAGGATAGTAATTGCCACCATCAACCACCTTCCCTCAGACCAGTTTCTTCTAATATTCTTGCTGCCTCAGGTTCCTCAGGTCACAGGTTCCCCTACAGAGAGAACTGACTACCACGCTTCAAAGACCACCATGAAGACCACAGTAATTAAAACAATAAGTTAATGTATCTTAATATAGCAAATAAATCTACATGGAGGACCATATGACATCATTGCTTTTTTAAAGAAATCTACTTTACTGCCAATAAAGTGGAAATTACACAAATTGTTAACAAATCACAACATGCTTACTTCAGAAGTTTCCTTGTTCCTATTGCAAAAGACTCATCCTGTGTGAGCACTTCAGAACCGAGTGTGCCAAACTCCCTGGTGGAATGTGGGCTGACAGTGCTGGAGTGTGAAACAGGAGTAGACCTGCAAGAGAGACCCTCCAAACATCACTTTTCAGATCTGCTGAGGCATCACAGATGGATGAATTGCAGAACCAAAGAATGGATGAGGTGAGGAGGGGTTATCTACTCCACCCTGCCCTGCTCAGAGCAGGATAAACTACAGCAGGTTGCTCAGGATTGTGTCCAGTTGGGTTTTGAATATGCCCAAGGATGGAGACTCCACAGTTTCTGTGGGCAGCCTTTTCCAGTGTCGGACCATCCTGAAAATATGGAATGAAGTACATTCACTGGAGATCCTAAAAATAAAGAACTTCCCACTGTTAAGGATACTTTCTTTAACTCCAGATAGAGAGACTGAATTCCCTGCTATCTTGGCATTGGACAAGCAACCTTTACTCTGTCTCAGTTTTCCTGGTAGACAAAGACAGCAAGGTGTCTGCAGTCAGTAAAAACTGAGAACAAAGGGAACCAGGTGACAAGTTTGGTCTCTCTGCAGAAAGAACTGTTTCCAAAGACATCACTGGTGATGTAGACATGTAACATCATGAGTATCCATAAGAGTTATATGGTCAGCTCATTTATTTCCTTAAGCTACAGAAGGGTTCTTCAACTGAGATTAGGTGTTTTAGGTCTAAAAATTCTTGCCTAAGGATGAGGCACTTGTTTTTATTTAATTTGAACTCACCTGGAGACAAAGGGCCACTTTAATATACTGTAGTGGTATAATTTTACTCTGGCAACCCGTATTTCCTGAGTCCTATTAAAGTATGAATTTTATAGTCTTGCTGTAAGAACTGGAAAAAATTAAACAGCTTCTGACCTCTCTTATTCCCTGGAAGAGCAATGCCAGTGGATCCCATACAGCTATTTAGTCATGAAAGCATATTTTTTGGGCTGGTATGCTTTCATGTGCACTGCACTTAGCATAAACATCTGCATGAAAACACACAGGTCATTTCACCTTCTCCTGCTGTGCCTTGGCATTCCAGTTTCTAGGCAGATCAGTCTGGATTGTCTGCTGAGGGTGCTGATCCCGGCTCTGAGAGTTGAACTCTGCATTCCTCCAGGAACGTTGGAAAGCAATGGACCTGTGGTGACAAACAGCAAGGTCTGGTTCCTAAATGTGCCAGAAGCTTTTCTCTTAGGGGGACAGGTACCATTTCTGTCCATTCTCTAACATCTACCCAGAGCTTTTCCACACTAGCCTGTGAACTGCTCATATTTCACTGCCTCTTGCCTTCCTCGCTTTGCTGAGGAGCTTTGCCTGCATGAGGACTGCAGGATGCCTGATGCTGGCATTACAAGCCAGCACGCAGGACTTTGTGTGCCATGAGAGGACATGTGGCTCCCTCAGCATGTTATGCCACAGCAGGCTATGTACTTACTTGCCTACTTATTGACAGAAAGGAGAAAGATTGCCTTCCCCACTGAGCTTTCATACTTTTGGTACAGATTTACACCTGAACACAATGTATCTGAGTTACAGACATGCCCTTTAGAAAATCTGCTTAGAAGAAGAGCAGGGGGGGAATATAACCTGGAAAAAAATCTCCAGTAATTGACAGGAATTGTCTTCTCAACTAAAAAATGCCACTTGGATTAAATAAATGAATAAATAAATAAATAAATAAACAACAAAATCTGAGTTTTAATCTCAAAACCATCCCCACAAGCAATAAAAACAAACAAGTGGTGTCTTCCTTCTTTGTCCTACTTCATGCTTTCTTCCTCAATCATACAGAAGTATGTGGTGCAGCAGAACTAACAGTATGCTTAGAGTGCACATTTTGCACTAGAACAGCTAACTAGAGGTGAAGATTCAGCTTGCATAAAGAACTACAGTTTATATCATGCAGATTCATGCAGAAAATATAAAAGCTACAATGTCAGTTAAAATTCAGCCCTAAAATACATAAGCTGGATATATTCGCTAATTACAGATGTGTAATAACCACAATGACTTAGATGTTCCCCCTAGAGGCTGTTGCTGGAGTGTACCCCAGGACAGTGAAAGGAGTGTGATCTCAGCTTGAGTTGGTCACAGGGCTGAGTCTCATGATATAAAGTTTCTGGAAAAAAATACTTATAAAGCATTTGAAAGCCTTGGTCAAGGTGTTACATAGCCTTTGCTGAAGTCTGTCTTGCAAGGTGAGAGATGAAACATCAGGCACTTTGCTTTCAGTGCAACTGTGTGGAAAACTAGAGATGTGAGACTTGAAAATTAAGCATGAGCCATTAAGTCATGGCTCAGACCATAAGTGGGTGCTGCAAATATATATATACTGCTCAGTTACAAGAAAAATTCATGCTATGGACTTAACTTGAGCTAGCTGGACATTTCTGGAGTAATTCCTTTGCACAGTTTGGAAGCTGGAATCAGCAGACAATTTGGATGAGGTCACCCTGCTTGGCAACCTTTAAAGAGGTAAGCAGCACTCTGGGCAACAATAGAGCCGTGTGCTTTGAAATGAATAAACTGCTTATTTATCTGCCTTCGGTGGCACAGCACAGATGAGTCAATATACGTAACTGCTCATTTGCATTATTCCTTCTTCTATTTAATAAAACATTTTGCTCCTGGAAGGACAAAACCAAACACCCAGGCATGATTCAAAATACAAGCGGAATCAGAAGTATATTTAAGCAGCACCTCTCAGGCCAGGTGAAGCAGTCGCAGCTTCTCCTGCTGCCGCCGCAGAGGTGGGTTTTTCCAGCGGTGGGTTTTTCCAGCGGTGGGTTTTTCCAGCGGAGGGTTTTCCAGCTGCGGAGCCGCACGGAGCAGGCGCAGGGCGGTGCAGGGCGCGGAGCTGCCGCGAGGGGGCGCTGGGGCCCCGCCGTCGGCGCGGCGCGGCCGGGCGGCGCGGGGGGAGCGGCGAGCCGGGGATTCCATGGAACGGGAATCCGCCGCAAATCCCCCCGCCTGCCTCTCCCAGCGGCCTTCCCCGCCTGGGACTGCGGAGAAAATAGCTGCAAGCTGCCCGTGCACCATCCCCCCGTGCCAGGAGGACATGGCAGCAGGGGGGTGATTTCCACGCAGTTTGAGAAGAATTGAAGCCTGTGAGCAGTGACAACGGATTTAAAGGGATGATGCAAGCCAGAAATTTGGCTCGCTGGAAGGCCATAGGTACTGAAGAACATCCATGTCTATGTCTACACTTTATTGCTGAATTCTTTAAAAAAATCAGTTTGAATTTATTATGTTCATATAAAATATGCTGTACAAACCTATGTATGATCAAGGCACAAACTCATCCGTCAGCATCCAGGAACATGCTCTTTTGACTGGGAGAAATGGGTATTACAAAAATCTCACAGAAAATGAATTTTATTTCAATGTCTAGGATTAAACGCACCTTTTGCCCTATTGACACACACCCCTCTGTAACAGTCTGCTGCAAGTAACTTGTCAGGCAATTTGATGTACTCAGTGATGCATTCGCTCTCCAAGTGGGTATTTTAAAATGCAACTTTTAATAACAACAGTATTGTACAAACCACTCATTTTTGTTCCATACCCTAATGCCAGTACTGGCTGGGAAAACGGGACACTTTGAATCAAACCCCGAGAGGCAGTAGCCACAAGACATCTGTGCCTGTGCTGGCAGGGAAGAAGTTTGGGACACCACCCGGCTGAGCAGCGGCAGCTGCAACAGGGACCGAGCGCGTCGCTGCCGGCGGTGTCCGTGTGTGCCCCGGCACTGCGGCCGCCCCAGCGCGCCCGGCCCGGCCCGGCCCGGCCCGGCCCAGCTCAGCCCAGCCCGGCCCGGCTCGGCTCAGCCCGGCCCGGCCCAGCTCAGCCCAGCCCGGCCCGGCCCAGCTCAGCCCAGCCAGCTCCTCCTGTGAAGGGACTCGCATCCTGCCCTCCCAGCAACCCCTCACTACAGGGCTTTGCGCCCCTTTATTCTCCACGTTCATTTTTTCCTTGCTGTGACTTCCGATATCCCTGTAAACTGAGACCCAAAGGCCAATTCAGTTCAAGCCTGCTGCTTCTCCCGCTTTGCAATTCCTCTGCTCCCTTTTGGCCAAAAGCTGGCGGGAGTCGAATATGATTAATTTTTTAAGGAAGGGTGTCGAGCGCTTTTCCAGGAGCGCCCAGCGGACGCTTTTATTTTATTCACCCGCCTGCAATGCTCTCTGTTCACTTTGCCCCTGGGACGCAGCGGCGCTCCCCGCTCCTCTCGGTGCCCGCCCAGCCTCTTCACTCAGGCCGTCCCGAGCGGCGAGCCTGCGGCGGGGACCGGCCCTGCCTGCCCCGGCGACAACCGGGATCCCCGGGCCGGGAGGGCTCACCCGGGACAGGCTCACCCGGGACAGGCTCGCACCGGGACAGGCTC